GTATGTTTATTGCGGCACTATTCACAACAACAAAGACTTGGAACCAACCCAAATGCCCATCAGTGACAAACTGGATTAAAAAAATGTGGCACATATACACCATGCAATACTATGCAGCCATAAAAAAGGATGAGTTTGTGTCCTTTGTAGGGACATGGATGCAGCTGGAAACCATCATTCTCAGCAAACTATTGCAAGAACAGAAAACCAAACACTGCACGTTCTCACTCATAGGTGGGAGTTGAACAATGAGATCACTTGGACACAGGAAGTGATGTCACTTCATCACACACTGAAGTCTGTTGTGGGGTGGGGGGAGTGGGGAAGGATAGCATTAGGAGATATACCTAATGTAAATGACAAGTTAATGGGTGCAGCACACCAACATGGTACATGTACACATATGTAATAAACCTGCATGTTGTGCACATGTACCCTAGAACTTAAAATATAATAAAAAAGAAAAATAAATAAAAAAAATAAATTAGAAGCTTCATGACTGCAACAATTGGCTTTTTTTGCCCTACTTATTATCTTGCATACTATTTTGGATTCGATGGAATTAATCTACTTTATGATGACTTAATACCACTTGGTCAAGAAAACTGCAAGTCTATTATATTACTTCTAGAAAAGAACACTAGGAAATAACATCCTAAATATAGAAGGTTAATAAAGGCAAGTCTTTCACCTTGCCTATGAAATTCTCACGTACCAGTAGGAGAGAGGAGGAGAGAGTGTGTGTGTACACGTGCATATATGGGTACTATGTCTACAATTTGGTCCTTCTACAAATAATTTCACAAGCTATGCAAAGTTCCACTGAGTCAACAGGAAAAGTAAAAGTTTATAAAACTGATTTTTATCAAACGTTTTCATAGCACTCTTCTTTGGAAAAATAAAAAAACTACTACTACTAACAAGAGCATATTTAAGCAAAATGCTCGACTTTTAAAATTAAAAATTAAAAAAGGCATACATGTACAAAATTCCCAGAAGACATAAAACCTCTACTCCAAAAAGGAATTGATGATGAAGCAACAGTCAGCACCGAATCAGGCACAGCACTGGCTCTGAGTGCAGAACACTGGGGACTATCCCCAGTTCCATGGCTTTGCTGTGACACTTAACCTCCCCTTGGACACAGTTTCCTTCTCTGTACAATGTGCATAATACTAGCTCTGACCTGCCAGGACACTTCTGCACATTATTAATCTGAGAGAATGCACAGAGAGTTTGATTAAACAAACATAAGTGGTAGTTAACAAGTTCCATGTTACCTGGAATATACTGGCCCCATAAGGTGTTCTCCAGGCATTCAGAAGGTTGTCCTTTCCAGTGCTTACAAACCATTTGCCTACAGGTAAAGGGTTTTGAGAAAGGCAATGTTTGTGTTACTTTGTCAGACACCAAGATGTGCTTTATAGAACATCAAACTATTCACAGAAAACTCATTCATTTGTAAAAAAGTAACTTTTGCTTCAAAAATAAAGTCTATCTTTCTGGATTTAATGAGTCATTAATCCTTAAGGTTAAAGTGGATTAATGCCAGAAAATTACATGGTGTTGGGGAAGCAGGCATGTATCAGGAAGTAATAGAATTCTGAAGAGGGGCATGGTAATGAACTCAAGGATTCAACTTGGAAATAAAAACACAGGAAGGGGGAAGGAGCAATTCTGGTTGACAGAAAATGGACAAAACGTGCTTGCTTACCACAATGGGCAAACTTGAGCGACAGCACACAGCTCTCATGAAGATGTAGTTGGTATTTGTCTGGCTTGGTGACATGTAAAACTTCCACATTGCTGTTCTCCATCCCCACTGCAAGCCACTCTCCAGTTGGGCAGTAGCCCAGAGAAAAGATCTAGAATTAAAACAGGTGATGGTGACAGTGGCCACAGTGGACACACTTCTTTCATCTGGGAGGTACTATCCCTTCTACAGATACTACTTACATTATGAAGAAAATCAAGATAATTTGAATTGTACAGGGGAAAACCAAAGTCAAATGGCTGATTTCAAAGTGGTTAATCCAGAATCAAAAGTGACATCACACGGTAAGTGAACTGCCTCTTCTTTCAGTAGGTGATATGTTTCATAAAACTGTATCTTTTTAATTTTTTTTATTTTGAGACAGAGTCTTGCTCTGTCGCCAGGCTGGAGTGCAGTGGCGCAATCTCAGCCTCCTAGGTTCAAGCGATTCTCCTGCCACAGCCTCCTGAGTAGCCAGGATTTACAGGCGCATGCCACTATGCCCAGCTAAGTTTTGTACTTTTAGTAGAGATGGGGTTTCACCATGTTGGCCAGGATGGTCTTGATTTCCCAACCTGGTGATCTGCCCACCTCAGCCTAAAACCCTATCTTTGAAATGCCTCAGCCACAGATCATACCTGGGAGGTGAAGTCGTGCTGCTGCAGCTGCCGCCCCTCACGCAGGTCCCAGGACCTCACCGTGTTGTCCAAACCGCCCGTCCAGAGCTTGGTGCCATCATTAGAAATGTCAATACAGCTGGCTCCGTCCGTGTGGCCCTGGAATTGCCTGAAAATGTCAAAATGGAGGGAAAGCCCTTGAAAAGTCAGCTTTTAGTTAAACTCAATTTAGAATTCCTTGATGATTCAATTTCAATCCAGGCCTTATTTGTAGATTTCATTTTGGTTTATTATGGTTTCTAATTATTCAAAGTAGTAACAAAGCATATACGAAGAGATTAAAGTTTAACGGAGATGCCAAATGTCCTGTACTTTTTGCTTGATTTTGAATACTTAGGAATTCTTCTAATTACTTTTTCATGAAAACATGATTGATATTACTAATGGAAAAAAAAATCTGAAATTAACAAAAGGAAACACGCCTACACGTATATGAACTAATCAAAGATATATTCTGAGACCTATTCTAACACTGTGCTATGAGGGAGAGAGAATTTAATTTTCCCTTTTAGAAAGGACTGGGGATGGCACAGGGAGCGACAGAACTAGTCCTGCCAATGAGCAGCAATGTGTCTGTGGGTGGCTGTGCAAGACGGAAGGCGAGGCTCTCAAGTAAGGCACCTGGAAAAGATACTCAGTGTGAACTACTGGCCCAGGAATCACTCATGGCAAAATGTACCAAGGTCACCAGGAGAAAAAAGGGTTAGAAGCAGCTTCACATAAGAGCCTGCCTGATAAGCAATGAAAGTGATGATTTGTTTTGGAATCTATAGGTTTCAGTCCTTTGAAATAACAGATAGTAAAGTCCTCTTCTTTCACACACATGACTTGTAGCTACCTCTGATTACAACCTTTTCATACTCTGTAGCTGATCATTCTACTTGCTTGCTAATCTCTTAGGTATTGACACCTAGAGAATCGTTTCAGAGCTTTTCCCATCTACCAACACCAACCCTTTATAATCTCACTTGTCAAGTTTTATCTATCCAACCTCAAAGGTGGGACAACAGATAATCTAGACCATTTCAGAATGAGTTGCACCCAATACAGTGCATAGGCCCATGGGAGTTGCTAAATACCTGCTGAAGGAATGAACCTGTTAGATGTCTATGGCACTCAAGCCAGTACCATACACTGATGTCTATGGCACCCAAGACAGTACCATATACTGTAAATCTTCTCAATGAGGCTCTATCAACAGTAATGGTTTGTTAGCAAACACAGATGGCAAATTACAGATGTCTAAGGAGCTCATGAGGTCATGGAAACCTTATGTATATTAATTATGTCAAACTGACCTCATTTTGTTAAAACAAATTGGTGATGCTTTAGTATAATGTCAAGGAAGAAAAAAACCTCATTTTATGAAGTTCAAGTACTATAGAAAACCAGATTTTTATACTGATAATTTGTTTTTAACATCTTAAAATGGACCTGTTCTGAACAATTTTTAGTAAGATATTCCTTTACACACACACACACACACACACACCCCATACCTACATACACAGTACTTTGGCAAAATATGGTAAAATCGGCTCCTCCTCACAACCTGGTAACAGATCCTGCTAACCTACCTCACCAAGGTCTGGTTGTGCAGATCCCACACAGCGATGTTGCCATCGCTGCAGCATGAGAAGCAGACCTTGGAATCGGGGCTGATGGCCAGGGCATAGCAGGCGGGGGCCGAGGATGTCAGCTCTGCCTTGATGCGTGGGGTTGGAGCCGCCAGGTCCCAAATGGACAAAGTACTGGCTTCCCCTCCGACAATTAGGGTGCGACCATCAGGGAGCAATCTGCAGGAACGGATGTAGTTATCCCTGTTCTGTAGAGACAAAAACCATCAAGAGATTACTCATGAGGAAAGGAAAACAGCATTAACATGAGAGCAGAAATCCATAAAAGTATTGTGTTCCCTCCTGGTTTAATGAGCCATTTATACTTATGACAATGATAAAGTGGATTAATGCTAGAAAATTACATGAAATTAGGGAAGTACTTAAACTTGATCTACAAAATGTAGTACTGAGATATTTAATCTTAATTAGCATCAAAATGCAAAGCTCTAGACCCACTCCCACCAGCACCAAATTAACCAACTGCTTGCATCATCTGCACACACAGATACACACGTACACTAATGTAGGAGCTCTTACAGTCTTGGAGTATCCAAACCTGGAACCTTGGTAGACTCAGGCTCAGTTCTGCTGCTGAAAGGTCCTGCTACTGATGGCAAGAAAGTTTCAGGGATATCTCCCTGGCAGTCTGTTCCTTTTGCCTGGGCCTGCATTACGTGACTAAAGGGCATCATGCGTTTGATGAAGCTGCACCAGAGGTAAGACTTGATCATGGAGTGTTAAGTAACAGAAAAAAAAAAAGTTCCTCCTAGCTCATGAGGTTACGGGAATCTTACGTATATTTAATTATGTTCAATTGATGTAGCCTCATGCTATAGCAAAAATTCTACTAAACTGACATTTCCTAAAGAACTCAAGGGCTAAGGCCAATGTAGCAGCTGAGGGGCTATCTAGTATTTGCCACATGAGGCAGTAAGTTACTCTTTACATGTGACAGATGATATTTAGGTGCATGCTCATAAAGTCACTGTATGGGCTCTTAGTTTGCTTAACCATCGGAGGGGAAAACAAGAGGTTTGTCTTTTCCCATGGGAGGCAGAGTTAATGAAATCAGTATGGTGCACATGCCACACATGAAGAACTAGATCACTGTGTCTCTAGGAAGCAAAAGACATACTCTAAGTGAAAGACTGCAATCCCCTGAAGAGCAACTATCCACCTGGGATCAATACTGTGTGGTGTTGCTCATACATACAGTTCTCTCATCAGCTCCTCCTGTTTTCTGAATGAAAGTCTAAGTCTTGTTCATCCATGTTCACTCACCAGACAGTCGAGCTGGGAGACAGGACTCTTATTGCCAGGGTGGCTGATGTCCCAGACCTTGACGCAGCCCTTCCCGCCTGTGTACACGTGTCTCGTGGGGTTGCTGATGGTCACTGCGCACACCACCTCCCCGTGGTTGAGGGTGTTGATCTGGCGAGCATGCCGGGGGATTCCGGGTCCGATGAGGGCATCGGGGGGAAATGGGACAGGCTGCATCTGACCGTCTGCGCTAACATGGAAGGAGTATGCTCTAAGGCAATGGAGAGGAAAAAAGAAAGAGGGGAATGTAAAAAATGTCCCTTAACTGTTCAGTGTAATGAGATGAGAAATAAAACACCTTCAGTGCCACTTGTGATTTACGAACAAATCGAATTTACCCATACAGTGTAAAGAACATAATTTCCAGAATCATACAGCTAGGCTGCTACAGAGCTAGATCTCAGGCTGACTCTGTACAAACTGCTGTGAGACATCAGTAGTTACTTAGACTCTCTAAACTGCAGTTCTAATCTCTAAAATGAAGAGAATGCTACCCATACCTCACAGAATTCAATGAGATAACCAATGTCAAGTGCAGTAGCCACCTTCAGGGATTCTCTATAAACCTGCATTGCCTTCTCCTTTGGATGAATCAGAGGCCTGTGATGAGGCCTTGCCTACAGATCAATTCACTTCAGGCAAGGGACTTACTAAGGGAGATGAGTAGGCCAAAATCAGGAAGCTTAAGGAGTTGAAAGCCTCTAGGCTTAGATGTTGAAATGACAGATGTGAAAAGAAAAACAAAATGATAAAGCCCTAGTTTAAAACCTTGATCAGACTTGACAATCACAAATTCTAAAAAATCCAAATGGAATGAGAACCTAAAAAAGCGTCCTGACAGCCCCAAAGGCCCGCCTGTGAGTATCTCTCAGCAGTTCCATCTCCAGTTCGTTTCCAGGGAAAGCCCTCAGGTGGTGAAAGCATTTGGTTCTAAAATGCAACTTAAGTAAGAGCATCTCCCTCAACACACTCATTTTTATTTTTAGGGCACTAAAGTCAGGAAGGGGCGAGTGAGGCTATTGTGATGCATGTTTCTGGAAGCAGAAGACACCAGAGGCAAGCAGGCGGCAGCTGGGCCTATACTGGGGACTATCACAGGCAACAGCCCATTTTAGAAACAATGCTATTCTACTTGGGCACGGAGCTTGGGAATCTGCTCTGCTTACGGAAAGTAGTTCACAAAAGACACACCAAGGGAAAGCATTGTGGGTGCACAAAGGACAGGAGGCTGGACCAAACTGCGGAAGCTGTAGAATTAAATTAAAAGTTTATCGTTCCTTAATGCAAAAATTTACAGGCCGGCCACATTCATCAAAATTCAGTCCATTATCGAATGGCCCTCAACCACCTGAATGTTCCCAGAAAAAACGAAGCATGCATTGAGGCTGCGGAAGATGAAGGCACCAGACAGTGGCAGGCTTACTTCCTCTGCAGATGACAGAGTGTTGTAGAAGAACATAGTACGTGAGACTTGCTGGAGGGGAAGGATGTGGGAAGCTAGGAAGCCAATGGACAGAAGACGTTTCTTGCATCAAATCAACAGGACTTGGAGATACACTGGATGGGTGACCTGAGAGAGAGATGCTGAAGAGGACCCTAGGGCTTAGAACCTGGGTGACCACGTAGACTGCATTACCTAGTGAAGATGACAGGGAAGCATAACTCAAGGGTACACCTACAGGGAGGTGAAGGAATTGGTTTTCTTGAACTTCAGGGCAGAAATCCAAACAGCTATGATTCAGGAGAGAGGTCAGGTTAGAAATCATCCATAAAGAAGTGATGTCTGAAGCTAAGGGGACGGAAATAAGAATCCCAGAGCAGATTATGCAGTGAGAAGCAGACCAGATACAGAATCCCAAAGAATGTGGACATTTAAGGAATCTCCAGCCAGAGTAGTCATGGAATTAAATTTTTAGTAGAGATAATAAAACAGAAAGGGGGAGAAGATGTTCAATCACATGACAATTTACTAAGATTCATTCACTTAACACACATTTCTTGAGTATCCCAGTGTGCCAAGCACTATGGTAAGAATGGAATAAGAAAGAAATGCACACACCTTGTTCTCCTGAAGTTACAGCCTGAGGGGCACATTCATTAGTGAGATATGCACATAAATAACTATCAAAATGTCAGATGGGCAGTGTGAAGAACAATGCATGGTAGTCTAGGAATTTGACAGAGTGAAAAGGACAGAGGAAATGGCAATGGGGCTGCAATATTAAGAATGGGTACAAATTGTCTGAAAATAGTATGATGATTAGGAGTATGGCAAATTCAAAGGCCAGAGCAAGAGCGCATGCTAATTATTCATTTATTCAGCAAATACTTCCTAAATGCCTCGTATGTTCTAGTTACCATCAGGTGCTGGGAAATCAGAGGTGAACAATACTGACAAAGTCCCAATCCTTACACTAATCTACATCCTAGAGGGGGAAACAGGTAACAGATAAATATAAATAAGTAACCTCAGACAGTGGAAAATAGCATTAAATATACACACACAGTTTCAGATAACAGAGTAGGGGTGCACAGAGTGGCCGTCAGGTGGCCCTCTCTGAAGAGGCAGCATATGGGCTGAGAGCTGAAGGAACGACACAGGTCTTACAAATAAGTAACGGGGAATGTGCCAGGCAGAGGGAACGGCAAATGCAAAGGCCTTGACCAGAAATAAGCCAGGAGGCCAGAGTGCATTCGATGGAGAGCATATAGGATATGAAGGGACAGGTAAGGCCAAACTAAAAAGGGCCATGTAGGCTGTGATGAGTACGAATATGAATCTGGAGACTTGTGCAAAAAAAAGTGACACGATTCAGTTAACGTCTTCAAATGATCTTCTGATTGTTGGGTGAAGAATGGAGTGTAGGTGGCAAAATGAAAAGACAACTAGTCTGGGGATTACACAGTAATCCAGGGGAGAAGAAGTGGCTAGAGCTTGGGAGACAGTGGTAAGTTGGAAATAGAACGTGGAGCACTCTGGCTGACTGGAGCCACAGTAGGTTGTGTGGATGGGATGATTAGAATTTGGAGGGGACACAGGGGTGATGACAAGCTCTTCTTTGTGAACATGTCAATACAGGTAACTGAAGGTGAGGAGGGCAGATGTTCACTAGAGATGAGGGGGTCCAAGACCACGATGAAGATGTTGGGGGGTTGTCTTTGTAGATACCAGAGTCAACCAGGATTACGGCAGCCTCTGGGTGCTGGCAGACTCTCAGCCGTGTATCAAGTCTTTAATATACTGGGGAAATACTTCCAACAAGGTGGAGGAGGAGGTAGTCCGATGGCAAGAGCCTGAAAGGAGCAAAGTTTTCATAAACAGGTAGAAAAGTTCTGTTCTTGGCAAGGCTGGGGAAGGGGTGGCAACCACAGCTGTTATTAACCCCACTGCTGGTGCTGAGGTCAGCGAATGAAATGGAAAGGTCACCCCGTATGGAGCTGCAGGTGAAGGGGTGACCTCAGGAGACGGCCAGATTTCAGTTCAGACAAGGAGAAGGCGGCAGTAATGCTCCTTAAAGGCGGAGGTTCTGAGGGATGACGACCGAGAAAAAGGCTAATTGATTTAGCAATTAGGAGGTCATGAAGACTAAATCTTAAAGGAAGGGAAAGGAAGATTATTCCAAGTTTAGATGGTGTTATACATTCTTAATGATAATTTATTAGGAAAGTCATCTCATTCTCTAGTCTAGAATCACTAAATGGTTTTTAAAGAGCACTGAGATTTTAAATAGTTAAGAACCCAGGCACACCATTTCCTTCAAGGTCTTCAACAGGACAGCCTTCACCTCAATCACAGCCACTCTGTGAGCACCTACTATGTTCCCGGAAAGAGTCCTTTCAAGAGTCCAGATGAATTCCAAGAGCCTGCTTTCATTCATGTGGCCCTCTGTTCACTATTAATATACATAGAAGGCACTCAGAACTGGCAACAATAAAGCTCTAGTACATACTTATTAAATATCAGATTTCGATAGACTCTTTGACTGTAACTAGCAAAGACTCCTGGAAGGTATGAGGGAAGTCAACACAGCTAGGAATCAGGGAAACCCAGGCGCAAAGGACGATTCTGTTTCTAACTCATTTAATGCAACAATATATTAAGTATCTCCCATCCATACACTCTGACGCAAATGTCATGCTAAGGATACAAAATTAGGTAATGTACCTGGTCTTGCCCACAAGTGACTAACAATCTAGTTAGCATGATGAGAGAAAGGTACAGAAGTGACTACAGTATCAGGTCACATTCTGATGGAAAGTATTCTGAAGTGTTCTGAAAAGGAAAGATAGAGCTTATGTTGCATGAGAGAGAGACATGGTAATAGAAATGGGTTTTTAAAGAGTGAAAAGATATCATCAAGTAAAGACAAAGATGGAAAAAATATTCCAGATAGCAAGAAGAGCAGAGAACAAAAGTCCCAAAAGGATGAGGCGAAATGAGCTGGTTTTAATCCAGGAATTCATTCAATAATAACCACATAGTAGATGGATAGAGGAACTGGCCAAGCATAGTCTGAAAAAACATACCAGATCTATATCTCTATACAATTAAATCAATGTAATGCTATAAAAGGGAAGGACCAGAATGCCAGCCTGAGACCTTCCCAGAATTGACTGAAGGGATTTTTGAGGGATAGAGGGAGTGTGCCATTACTGGGCAAAGCTATTCATAAAATCAACTTAGTAGCAAGGATTAGGATGGACAGGAGGAATTAAAAACAATTATTCCTGTTGGGCGTGGTAGCTCACATCTGCAATCCCAGCATTTTGGGAGGCCAAGGGGGATGGACCTTGAGGTCAGGAGGTCGGAGACCAGTCAGTGAAACCTCATGTCTAATTAGCCAGGCATGGTGGCGTATGTGCCTGTAATCCCAGCTACTTGGGAGGCTGAGGCATGTGAATCATTTGAACCCAGCAGGCAGAGGTTGCAGTGAGCTGAGATTAAGCCACTACACTCCAGCCTGGGTGACAGATCGAGACTTTCTCTCAAACAACAACAACAACAATTATTCCAACAATTGAAATAAGAGGTACTGGGGGGCCCGAACTAGGCAACGGCAAGGATGACAAGTCAGAAGGTACAGTGGACATAAAATCCTATAGGACTAAATTGATGAGATGTGAGGAGGAGCTACAGTAACTGAGTTTCTGAGCTCAGGAAAAAAGAAACGTGGTACTTGTAGTTACCAAAAAAGTGGCAAACTGGGAAGAGGACCTAATTTACAAAAGTACTTTCTGGATATAACGAATTTGTGGTGCAAGTAACATACACTGAAGATCCCTAGCTAAGATGCCCAACAAATAACTAGAAATACAGGGCTGGAGGGAGAGAAATAGAGTGACCTGAACTCCTCTCAACACAAACATACACCCCACAGGTTAAGCTGCTACGAGCAGAGTGGCTCTCCAACAAACATGGCGAGGAGAATAAGAGACAGTTGAAGAAAATGCTAGGCTTGGACTTTCTGACATAATTACACTTTGAACAATCCAGACACATGCAATTTGCTTTTTTAAAAACATGTGTATCAAACTCATTATATATGGATTATCATCTTGACAAAGACCCTGCATATTTAAAGAAGGTTGCTGGCTTTCCCACCTTCCCCTCATTCTCCTTTCTGAGGCCCAGTTCTGCTGTGCTGTGCTCATCTCTCACGTGCACAACACCTTCTCCACATTTCCAATGTGTCACAAGATGGGATTCGACCTTGAGGTCACAACGAGGTCTAGTTATTGTATTTTACATTGACGTATGATAGAAAACCTTGGTTCTAAGTAGCACACAGACCAGAGTTAGCCAACAAACACTTGTTGAAGGTTTTTACCATGTATCAGGCATTATTCTCATTTGAAAATCTTGCTTTATAAAAATAAACCAATGCAAAAGAGTCAGATTTCTGAATTGTGAGCAGCCTATAATCCACTAACCTGAGATCTTTTATTTTTGCTCTGTTCACATGTCATATCCCATACAATCAGTACCGTGATTTTAATCAAATACTTATGCACTAGCCATAGAAGTCTCATTTGAGTAGCAGGTGAAGGAGAAAGGCCATTTTTGGCTTATGTTGAAATTAAACTATGTTGTCATTCCAATTATATATGGAGTAGAACCTCTGCTAATTCACCTGGACAAGAGTACTCAATGAGAATTATATAATAAACACCATTTTATTAATTTGGAACATGCATTTAATCACAATTTCTGATAATATCTAGCAATTCATTGTGTGAAATAATTAGAACAGAGACGCACAACTTTTATAAGTCTTTCTGGAGAAAGGTAGTTACATTGTGGGTATGTGTGATGGAGGAGGATGGATGATTTTTTGTTTTATTTTCTAGCACACTTAAAGTTTTGTTTTGAAAAATATGCACAAGACAATGTTGCACAATTCTATATCTTATGATCTGGAGAGCCACATAACTGTTATATTCATTTCTGCTATAAAAATCTATAATAAAAGTATATTATCTCTATGGGCATATAAGTCAATATAACTTTATATGCCTTCATGCTGTTACATAAAGACACACATTATGTAACATGCTGTTACATAATGACCCATCTTCTTGGGTCACTTCTGCCTCTAAAACACACTGTACCTCCTATTACATAGCTAGCTGAAAAACGGATAATATGCTGGGACAAAGCTGAAAGGGAAATAAGGCTGGGGTTGACTAAACAGCCACCATGTAACAAATGTGGCACTCAATGAACACACAACATATTATCTTACTTCCTATCTTCACACCCTTCTTGTTGAGGAGGTGCCATCCCTGATTCAGTGAGCCGACTGAAGCTCACAAAGAAACTGTGCATAAAGCCACTCCTCTCAGTGGAGAGAAGAGTCTAAATTCAACTGGTGGAGTCTAAATTCAAACTGGGATCTGTCACACTCCCAAAACCATACTCTGTTGACTGCACCACATGCTTTTTGGTAAAGTGTCATTTTCCTGGTAAAGTGTCATTTGCCAATTGCAGTAGTTGTGACTGTTACTCTCATAAACACAAATTCTCAACAATCCTCTAATCCATTAACCCACCCAAAATGACCTTAAACATTTAACCATTTTATAATGTTTAAACATTTTATAAAACCAAAAGTCAAAACTGATGAAGGGAAGTCAGCTCAAGACTCAGAAGCACGACCTGAGTCAGAGCAGCTGTGACTCCACAGTGGTTTAACTGGTCCAAATCCCCTAGCCAAGGTGTTTCCTTAAAGACACTTACACCCCTTGTGCCTCAAAGCAGCAGCTGAGGCAAGAGGCATCATCTCATTCACTCTAGTGGTTATGCTGTAGCTCTGGGTACAACTGTTGGTTACCTAAGAAGTGACCATAAAAAAGAGATAGTACTTCTTCCCTAAAGGAACCCTTCCACTTTCCCCACAAGTTCATATGGAACTTGTAGGTATCTGGGTCATTATTTGATTAATCGTACTACCTTGTTATTTAGCATTGCTTGAAATAGCCCAATTTTCACCTTCAAATACCTCAGAGTTCTTGGTCAATAAGAGTTGTCAGTCAGTCAACAACTATTTGCAAAACACGCACAGGTATACAGAATTTTATGGTAACTGATATTCATACCTTCAACTCTTGAGGAACTCTAATTTGTCTTTTCTCCCCTATTAATCAGTCAAATATTTACCAAGCAACTTGGCTATGGAGCCAGCACTGTGTTTGATGCAACAAGGAAGGTTAGGGTAGAGTCTGTGGAGAAGTATTAATATGTTACAAAAGGAAGAACTGAGATTCGGATTCCTCAGATGGAAAGTAAAGAAAGGGTCTAGGTTAGGCAACACTGAAGGGATGTGGGGAGAAGAGGGCACGCAATTAACACCAGGGTGAAAACTAGGTGCCCGAGTGTGAGGGAGTGAATAAACAAGCAATGGGAGGTCCAAGAAGAGAGACCAGCACATATCCGTTCCCTGAGCAAACCCATACTGTCACCACTACGAACCAGGTGCCATTCTAGGCAGTGAGACTACTTCTATAACCAAACAACAGAAAGCTCTGTTCTGCTTTCATGGAACTTATAGGCAAGAGGGAGAGGCAGAAAATGGCTATAAATAAGCATTAAAAAGGTAGTAGAACAGGAGAGAATAATACGGAGGAAGGGAGAGAGGGATAATAGGGCTGTCAGGGCAGAACGCTCTGACATAATGACATCTTAGATAACTAAATGAGACACTAAGCCACAGAAAGTTTTGCAGGAAGAAGGACAGTAAGAACAAAATGCCTCAAGGCAGGCAAGCTACCAGGGAAGCCTCTGGGAGAAGGGGCTTTGAGCTGCTACTGAGGGTCAGGTCTGGATAGCCCTGGAGACTGGGGAGGCAGCACATATACAGCATGTGTAGTGACAGAGGGGATGCCCACGGACAGAGTGATGAGAATAAATGCACACACACAGGTGACTAACAAGGCCATGGAGGATCTGCGGGGGAGGCTTCCCAAAGGAGAGGAGAGAGAAAGCAGCCAGCTGGGATTTTAAAGAAAGAGCCAGTGCTACTTTATAGTAAAATCTTTGTTTCTGGGAAGATGAAGCCAATTAGCAGAGACAACTGTGACTACGTAGTAATAAAAAGGTGCATTAGATTAAAATAAAGTATGTGGAATGAGTTCTGGTGAGAGATCACAATGTACAAGAGGAGGCTAGAACAACTGGTGTGTTGTGTTTTGTCTTTCCTAACTCAAGGAATCTGTGAATACAGAGGCTCCAGATGCCCACAGCACAGTATAAGAAGCCAACTGAGCAAGTCACCTTTTCTGAAAACAGAACTTAGCGTAAGAGTGCCCTTATTTCCTTTCAGCTTTTGAAGTTTGGCATGTCTTTTCCCAACATATTCAAATTTTGAACATCCAGGTTTGCACATAATAATCAGACTTTGGGAACAAAGAATTGCCTTGAAATCTGCAACAGATGTAGAGAAGACCTGACTACTGGAGATGCTTCTGCAATTTGCATTTACATATTAAAGCTCAAAATTTTACACTGCAAAACCCCACTTCATTACTTCTCTTCTTCTGCTAAGAGAAAATGAAAAATACTTTGCAAGGTAAAAAATACAAGTCATGGGAACTCCCTCAACACTGTCAAGTGGTACTCAAAGTCTAAGGGGTCAGGTCAGCAAGGGACCTGAGTTTGACACACAGTGAGTACAGAGGCAAAAAGGTACTCACGGTTTTCCTCCTGGAATGCCTGTCAGGTTTGGAGGTATTGCTGGCACACGCATGTGATGGTGTGGATCAAATCCCACCTATAATTTTTCCCAAGCAAACAACACAAATAAGCACAGTTACATGCGACTTGTTTTATCCTTCTCAAAATCTATTCTAAAACCTGGGAGAATAGATCCTTAAAAAATAAGCTTTCAGAGATACATACACAGAAGTATTCACTGATGAAATGATAAAATGTTTAGGATTTAATGGTATCACACTTGAGGGTGGAACATAGATTAAAAAATTATACTAATGATTACTGAAGCTCATGGTAAAACCAGAGTCATTACATTCATTATACTATGTGATCTAATTCTGTACGTCTGAAATTTCCAAAATTAGTATCATTTTGGAAAATTTAAAATTAGTATTCTTTAAAAAAGACATATAAAATAAAAAAGAAACTTCCTCACCTTACAAAAGAAAATGGATCTCAAGATATAATTACATGTAGCTTAATTTATAAATACCCACAGATCTCTAAATACCTTAGATTATATAAATTACATTAACAAATACATAGGCCAGGCATGGTGGCTCATGCCTGTAATCCTAGCAATTTGGGAGACTGTGGCAGGTAGATCATATGAGGCCAGGAGTTCGAGACCAGACTGGGCAACATGGTGAAACCCTGCCCCTATGGAAAATTTTAAAAATTAGCTGGGCATGGTGGCGCATGCCGTAGTCTGAGCTACTTGGGAGGCTGAGGTGGGAGGATCACTTAAGCCTGGGAGGCGGAGGCTGCAGTAAGCCAAGATCATGCCACTGCACTCCAGCCTGGGTGACAGAGTGAGACCCTGTCTCAATCAATCAAGCAATCAATCAAGCATGACAATCCTCTGTGTGCTAAAATATTATTTTGTGAAGCTCACAAACGCACCACTGGTGATCTCCCATAGGCAGCAGCAGCAGCGGCGGCAGCAGCAGCTGCGCTCATCTGAGGGGAGATGTTGTGGAGCCCAGCATAGGCCGCTCCGGGGCTGGTCAGCTCTCCGTTCATTCCAGCATGGGGCACGATCCCAAATGGAGTGGGATATGGACAGGGTACTGCCATTGGGGTCCTTAGGCTTGAGGCTGCAAACCAAAATGGATGGAAGAAAAATGAAGAACACAGGAAACAACAGTGAAGACATTTGTAAACATGTCAAAAAATAGAATCTATGGTTCAAATGAGCTTATTTTAATATTCTCAAAAGTCATTCAAGCCTTCAGAGTTCACTCATTCACTCTGTTCTACTGAACACTTACCATGTGCCAGACAAGGTTGGTCCCAGGTGCTCAGTTCAGGTTAAGTAACGTTGTCTAACAGCCATTCAGTGCTGGTCATTAGCACTTTTAATGTACTGTACTCTTTACATTATTTAAAAACAACCATAAAAATATAGAAAACACTTTTTTCTTACTAACCCAAAGGGTCAACTCCTGGTGGTTTTCCAGGTACAGGCCTCAATCCGGGAGTAGAGTTACTGCCTGGGGTGGGCGCATCAGTTCGTGGAGTAGGGGTATTGGACTTTGAAACAGGAGTAGTAGATTTTTCATTCTAACGAGATGAAATGACATGTACCAGCAATTAGAATATGATTTTAACAATGATTTTAAACATTAAAAAGGTAAAGAAAAGGAAGGGAGAAAAAAAATGAAAGAGGTTCTTCAGCTTGGGCCTTGATTTTCATTAATAGAAACGTTAACAAAGAAACAAAAGAGTTCCTTGAGGCCGCAGACCTAATATTTGGGAAGACATAAACTGAAGCTGAATTTTGAGGAGAGTAGCTCATTTCTAGGAAATTGGTCTGAGTCAGATGAGGCTCACAAACCAGGATGTCCTAACTGTGGCCACTTGCCGGTGGCTTTGGTAAAGACTGGGGTAACTTTGGGCTCCTGGCAGAATGCTCATGTCATAAGAGGCTTCCTGGTGAACAGGTCACATTAGAAAACAGATCCAAGTCTGAACTGTCATAGAGACTAAGCAGAGAGCAGGTGCCATTAAAAGAATGCCAGAAGGCCAAGAGAAAATAAAATAAAATTTTAAAAACCCAACAATCTAGCCCTCTGTCGGACATATTCCCCCTAATTTGCAGAGCAATTGAGGATTTTCCTTTCCTTTAGCTGTGAATTCCGGAGGTTATTAGAAAACTGAATTTGTCTTTTTATTCTTTAAATGTTATGTTACAAGGAAATAACTGGTGAGGAAAAAAGACACGCCACACAAAATTGCAATTAACTACACAGCCACAGAAGAATAGGGTGCAGGGAGATTATCCTGATGGGTGAGCAGTTCATTTTTGCATTTGTGATTTGTGATGTGAGTCAAGGTAGACTTTTGTAAATGACAGATTACTTTTTAGATAGGAAGGGAAAATTATTGCAGTCATATGTAGCTTGGTAATTCAAACAAAGCTAGCAACAAAATCACATTCAAGCCCCAAACTAAATTTACCATAAACCACAGGCGACAAAACCATCTCTGTAACCCCAGTGTGCATTTTTCATCTTCGCTAAGACGTGTTTCACTCAATTTCCCCATATCCCTCTTCTATCCTTGCAAAAAGAATCACAAAATAAACACTCATCACCAACAAGTTAGTAAACTTATTCTGCTCTACATACTTTTGCCAATTAAACGTAAATACTGAACATATATATACACTTGGAAATAAAAGTCCTGTAAAAAATGTGAGAAATATAAAGATAAAAACATCAAATTCAAACATCAAATTGGCAGAGGTCACACTCAGAGAGATGGTAAGGAGCTACTTACAAGGCTAAGTTCTTTGGATTTGGAGGAGGGAGTACTGCTGGAAGATGCAATAGAGGCTGGACTAATCGGGGCATCTTTCTTGAGCAGGCGTGTCTTGTCCAGGCCATTCTCTCTCGGGGAATGTGCTGGGCTCCCTCGAGGGGAAGATGGATCCTACAAAGGAACATCATGGATAGTAATGCAAGCACAGCCCATTTACAACGCTGGGGTTGTTGGGTGTGGACATTTCTAGCCAAAAGCATTTAATGCATGCTTAGAAGCACAAATGTGCTAGAACAGATAACAATACTCACTGAAACTACTAATGAAAATATTCAGTATTGAGGGCCCCAAAATTATAGTATTTATAGTACTTATTTAAAACCCAAAGAAAAATCAAAACCCCACCCATCTGCCAATTGCACGTCAACGAGACCTGCAGGCTGACCACAGAGATCTGGTGTGCCTTCACTGAGGTAGAGAAGACACTTTACTCTTCATAGAAAAGAACAGCGACCAAAAAAAAAAAGAAAAGATCAATCACATAAAATCAGTAGTATATAATTTTAATGTAAATAAAAAGTGGGTCCCTTTAGAAATCAAGAATATGTTTTGGGCCAGGTGCAGTGGCTCACACCTGTAATTAATCCTAGTCCAGGAGTTTGAGCCCAGCCTAGGTAACATAATGAGACCTCATCTCCACAAAAAATTTAAGTATTAGCCAGGCATGGTGGCGTGTGCCTGTAGTTCCAGCTACTCGGGAGGCTGAGCAGGGAGAATCACTTTAGTGTAGGAGTTCAAGGCTGTGGTGAACTGTGGTCGCAATACTGTACTTTAGCCTGGGCAACAGAACAAGACCCTGCCTCAAAAAACAACAACAACAACAACAAAATGACAAATCTCAAAATATTTTGGACACTAATTGTTTGGACAACTAGTCTTTGATATGGCTGGACAAGAGCAGAAAATTAAAGTAGCCACTAACATACCTCATTGGAAACGTCAACCACCAAGTTGTCATCACTTTTCTCACCATCGCTGTCCTGCATTGACAAGTGAGAAGCATTATCTTCTCCTCCCACAAAATATACCACATTTACTCTAAATAAGTCCAGACTAATTCCTCAGATCTTATAAAGATGAGCTGAACCAAAGAGTGTTAAATACTTGACAATGTCCTATTTTCTTTAATCCTCATGATGATGCTATGAAGGTGGGTAATACGATTATATTCTTCAGATTATGAGACTGATGCACTGCCCACTGCACCAACAGGGTGACCTGATTATATTTTTCAGTTTACAAAACTGAAGCTGATTTTGGCTTATTACTCTAGAGTAGAGGCTGCAAACTGACAGGCCCAGGCTAAATCCAACCTACACATAGGTGTGGTCTGGTTTGTCAGTATTTTAAAAAACTGCATATTGGGAGGTAAAAATCTAGATTTTCAGCTTTTCATGAGGCCTGAAGCCCTGTAGGACACCAGCAGGGAAGCAGAGCAGGGGCCGCCTGCCTCCACACTGCTCCATCCAGCTTGCTCCCCGCTTTCACTCCTGTGACCTGCCCAGCCACTAGAGGAAAGTGAGCTTCATTCCAGGCTAGGGATGATCTTGGATGTCTCTCCATGTTTTATTCCACAAGATTTGGTATATCCTTCAGCACATGAATCCATCTAGGCATTTAAACACATTTTTTATGACTTTATATTTTTTCCTTAACAATTCTAGCTAACCACAGAAAATCCAACCACTCTGAAATAAATGGGGAATCAAATACACCTATAGAAACAATAATATGGATCATTCAGGTCTTCTGTTAGCTGCCCAAATGAAGCAGTCTATCCTCACATGCACCTGTACACACACAGGACTTCAGTTAGCCAATGGCTACAGAGCTATAAAAGCAACAAATGTTTTTTGTCTCCTAAAGGATGTTATCCTGTGTTCCTGTGTTGGCTGGAAACAGTCAAAGGGTAAAATGGCTGCAGATAAAAAGGCAAGCAGGTCTCCCCTAAAGCAAGGGTGAATGAACTTACATAACGAGCTGCAATTTCCTTTTCTTCAGTTTTCTGTTTTTTGCTCTCTGAGGAGTAGTCTGTGGAGTTTCTGTGCTTCTCAGCACCTCGGAAACTGGCTGATGGGGATACTGAAGAGCTCTGGAATTAGAAGGAGAGGAAGCATGGTTGAGAAATTATCATCCATTTAGTCGAATGATTTTTAAGTCACTTGAGACTTTCTTTTCTTTTTGTTCTTTAGTACATACTTGCAAAGCTGTTAAGAGGAAACAGGAGAGAGCAGAGGAGACGAAAGAAGGAAAACAGGGATCTAAAGGGAAAGACAAGTAGCAAAAGACAAGGGGGAAAGATAATGGGAAAGAAAGAAGAAGAGAGAAGTGGCAGAGAGATGGGACAGAAGGAGGAGAGGAATTAAAAAGGGTGGCAGGAGTTAGTGTCAATTTAAAACAGAGAATGGGTTGGGTTTTATGGATATATTGTACTGTTGAAGTGCCTTTAGAAAGTTGGGAAAGGGGCTGGGCATGGTGGCTCACACCTGTAATTCAAGTACTTTGGGAGGCCGAGGTGGGCGGATCACGAGGTCAGGAGGTAGAGACCATCCTGGCCAACATGGTGAAACCCCGTCGTTACCGAAAAGACAAAAAAATTAGCCAGGCGTGGTGGCTGGCACCTGTAGTCCCAGCTACTCAGGAGGCTGAGGCAGGAGAATCGCTTGAACCCAGGAGGCAGATGCTGCAGTGAGCTGAGATGGAGCCACTGCACTCCAGCCTGGGCAACAGAGTGAGACTCTGTCTCGAAAAAAGAGAAAGAAAGAAAGTTGGGAAAAGAAGCATATATGAGAGAAAAGGGAAAGAGAAAAAGTCAGGCTTTTTTTAAAATTTATTTTATTTTTTTAAAGTTTGCTGGCTAATGGGAAGCCAGCATTTCAAGCTTCTACAGAGAAACTATAAAGCAGAGCTTTTAAGAGGTAGTAAGTCAATGAAAAAAAAGGGGGAAGTAATTTTGGGGGATTTGAGCAACCAAAGACGGCGGTCATGTGACATATAGGTCGTATTTATGAAATTTTGCTCAGCGCCACATATTAGGGCTTGGAAGATGCAGAGTGGCAGGAAAAACACCACCTGCAAAAATGCATATTATTCCTTTCTCACTCCTATAGTTTTCATGAACCCACTCCTTTTAATGTCTGGAAACCTAGCAATGCCGCTGGGGCCAGGGAATGGAGAAAGATCCTCCACGCCTCTTGGGATCACACTTAGGCTCAGCCTGTATGTTCCATCTCTGCTTTCAAGGAGCTCTCAACTGGAGAAGTCTCCTACACACATGAGAGACATGGGTGACAAGATCCGAAGCAGGGAATGACTCTCTCTGCGATGAAGGTCAGGTGGTTATTGGGCACATTTAGATAATATGAGAGCTTAAAATCATGGATGAAGCAGTGAAAACAGTGCCAATGAAAACTGGATCTAATCTTAACAATTACCTAGTGCCTATGCTTCAGACAGACCAAAGAAAAGATCTAAATGCAGGCGAGGTGGGAGAGTGGGAGCTGGGCTGAGGGTCGTGCTATCCTGCTGCGTGGTGAATGGCAAAAACCTGAGTAGCACAGTCCCTTGGCAGGGCACCAGGGCAGGGCTCCCAACTGTGAATGACCCTAACCCAGGGTAAGAAAGGGCTGATCTTGGAGGGTAGTAGAAAGAATATCTGAAAATCTCTATGGAAAAAAAGTTATAGGAAAAACAATCACCAGTGGAACGTCTCTGTCTGGCACGCAAATCAATTCAGAAAACTGGCCAGGAAGGCTCTTCCTCATTTATAAATTCATTTCATGTAAGACTAACTCTTTGAACTTTTTTTGTTGTTGTTGCTTTAAGTCTGTTGGTAATAACTGACATTTATAAAAACATAAAACATTTACGAGGGCCTTTTAATTAACTACGGGAGAAAGTGTGTTATCCAGAACTTTTGGGTCTATGTTCCATTTTATTTCCACTGAGCCATAATGTCACAATCTCTTTTGTGGCACTTCTGAACTTTCAAAGCACATTGTTAGAAGACAGATAGGCCTTCTTCATACCTGTGGTGATGGCAACTCTATTACGAGCTCCACAGGTGTGCAGGTGGGAGTTTGGTGGGGGAGAGAGATGGGACCAGTGAGTGGGTACCCACTGGGAGGGGCTGGGGACCTCTAAATCCTTCCCTGCTGTGCCAGCCCCTCTTGAGGTTTTATATGAATACTCTATCCCTATCAAACATTCAACTTTAAGCTTAGTGGCAGAAAAGACTGCAGGCATCGTTCAGTAAGGCTGAAGATTGACACAAAACATTCCGAGCCAAACGATTTTTTAAAGTGGACTATTTCTTGACTTTTGTGTATATCTGCTGAGTTCCAAACCTCACTCCCAAGCCATGAGACTTGGCTCAGCACTTCTGCTTTGCTTTCACACAACTCAGTACACTCAGCAGGTTTTCAGACCACCGAAACCATGCATGCAACCATCATCTGTGGGTTACTATCTACCATACTTCATGCCTCAATCCCATTTCTAGTTTTCCCCTCTCCACTGTAACTACCTCACTTGTGGAATTCATACTACCCAAAGAGAGGTTCAGCCTGTTCTTACTTCTTTTTTAAAGGGACAGTTTCCTACTGTTTACAGGGGAAAAAAAAATTCCAAATTTCTGAGTATGGTTGTTTTCCAAAAGTCTTCACTCCACACCCCAATCCAGAGTCCCGGCCTTGTATCCTACCATCAGCACTATAAGCCAGCGTTCCCCTGGGCTCTGTGTATTTTCATTACATCTGTAGCCTTTTTTCCTGGCTTATGGCAATGCCTATTTTCTCAAGATCTATCTTTTGAAATCCCCCACTATCCTTAAGAATCAGCTCTAATGTCACTTTTCAAAGCTTCCTCGGATGCTGTCAGGCAGAATTAATCATTCATTCCTCTTTGTTCCCTTAACATTTTGTTCCTCCAATGAGTAAAGCACTCACAATAAATTTATTGCTGTGTTTACAAGGCCACTTCCCACTTCAGGCTGTCGGCTCCCTGAGGGTGGGAGCACCTAGCATCACGAGCAGAAGAGAACTGCCCAGAAATATTTCTAACACAAATGGCTGAACATCCCCTCTGCACACCTCAATCTCACTCCAAATCTCTTATGATACATTTCTTTTCTGAGCATCACTAGGATGAACAATTCCACGGGAGACCATTCACTAGAGTAAGATTTGTGTGGTGGTGTCCCTGAAATCGGTAATATGGCAATTCAGCCCCTTCCTCACCTTTGCTATTTTACCTACCCTTTAGATGCACTAAATCTGGCTAATCTGATATTTCACAAAAAGAAGAAAAGTGGAGTGTATGCATCTTTTATTAATAATTCTCTGAGCATTCAGATTCTGCTATATTCTATTGAAAGTTGTTTCCACATTAAGAGGAAAAATTTCTAAACAAAACAATTTCTTAAAAATACTAAAAGGTAATGCCTATTTAGATTTTTATGTTCATTTATTGGCTTATATGTACAACCAAATACTTCATATTTTTCTTAAGCTAGCTGTTTCTGGTTGTGCAGGCAGCGTTATATTTTGAATTTGTAGAACAGAGTTACATGTTGGAGTTTCCTGGTAGAATGATAAAGTAGTTAATTATCACTAGCATTTAAAGGTTAAGCTGCACAATGGGCACCGGGGCAATCAGCAATGTTCTAATAACATAATTACTCTGGAATCAAATTGGACTTGGCACAGACTCTCATGAATCTTGTAAGTCCACCATTCTGCCACAGGAATGCCACTTGGATCTTTGCTAGGAATGTGAATAAGAGGAATTAAATAAATACCGATAAAGTCATGCTTTTACTAGAAAAGCTTTTTTATTTCTCTATTATTATTTTAAAAGCTCAATTTAGATATTTCTCAAGCTTACCACGTAACTTACTGAAGCTGCATTGTGACCCTATAAATCTACAAATTTAGAAGGATTAAACACAAGTCTTTCTCACTACAGTTTGAGTGTGTGTGTGTGTGTGTGTATGTGTGTGTGTGTGTGTATCTCAGCAAATCTGTTATGATTGGAGAGTCACAGTCAGAAGCAATGGCTGATCCAGAGAACGCAAAATACCCTGAATGTGAATGTTTAGTAAAGCTCTGGATTTTAAAAGTAAACACTTATACTGGGATATTTAAAAAGAACAGGGTAGATCTGTTTAAGAAAAAGAGCAGGAAAACAAGGAGAAATCAAGAAGAAAATAATAAAGGATTAAAAGACTTATTACATGGAAACCCCAATTGCTTTGGCAGCAAAAGGTAAGCTTTAGAAAGCTATTGCTAACATCACAAATCAGGTTCTAATTTCACTATGAGAAGATTCTAGTTCCTAGTTTAAAGTCCACCCCAGACTTCACTAAGGCTGTTGACCAAGTCAGATGGAAAACTGACACCTCCAACAACTTGAAAGGGATGGCCCCACCCCTCCACCTTTACTCCTCTGCCACTTCAAGATCAAAGATGACAATTGTATGTGAAAGACTTCTATAAAGTAACTCCCACCCCAAAATAAGATGCTGTTGTTATAATTAGCTAATTTTAATAACAGGGAGCACAGATTTTAATAGCAGGCAAGAGCATCTCTCTGGAGTCAGACTGCCTGGTGTGAGTCTAGAGTCTTCACTTAATAGCTGTGTAGCCGTAAGGGATGTTGCTTATTCTCCGTCTCTCTTTAGTCCGGGGGTAACAACACACCATCCTCAGCCCCACAAGGCTGCTTTGAGGACCAAGAAAAATAATCCACATAAAGTACAATGTGCAGTTCCAGGCACATAGCCCAGCCCCTCAACAGGGCAACTTAGTCCCATCACTGTATACTGGACTCCAGTTGATTCTACTTACTTTAGAGATTGGGATGGTGACCTAGTGTGGATCTTCTATTTTAAACCTTATGTTAGGTCTTTTGTAGACATTTGTGTAGCACTTCCCCCAGCATAGATATTCTGATGCACTGTAATTATAGGGTTTTAATACGCTACTATTCACCAAAACTCTTCTCCTTTCAACAATCACAATAAGGTTTTGGTTCAATATTGCACAGAGGCAAGACTGCAAATACCATCTCCACAATGGACTTTCTAATTTGATT